TGCATCTGCCTGATTCATGTATTAGAGTGACTTGTAGAACCTTTCCTCCATTAAATCAGAACGCTTGGCCATCTTCTATATATGTAGAAGCATCCTATGCCTTTGAAACTCTAACCGATATTTATGACACATTGCTGAGATCGTTTGTCAGATTTCATCGAGATCCCTCGACACTTTCTTTGTGTTGCAATTTCAATGGTGGCCAATATATATTTGTATGCAATGCATTACAGCCATTTGTTTCCTACCGTACTCTTTTCCCGAACAACCTATAGATTTCAGCACTTTCATGCAGCAAATTTTAGAGTGCTTTCTGTTTGATACCAAAAAGAAAAACAGAATCAAGAATTTCTACGGTAGATTTTATGAAGTCTCCAACAGGGCGCTTTTCTTTTTTTTTTTTTTTACTCCATCCGGTATTTCTTGTTGCGTCGGACTGCAGAGTATGTTATGGATCGCGTCTACTGAGAGCTTTCGTGGAGTAGGGAAAAATGAAATTACAAAATGTTAAGTTGAACAGCAGACTCGGTGGAGCTTCGCAGGCGAGGAAGAAAAAATAAAAATAACGCGCAACGTTGGGTCATGACGAGAGGGGGGATTTTTGGCAGTCATTTTTTTCTATTTCCTTGCAATATGAATTCACGTGCGCTGACAACATTCCTGACACCAGTTGGTGTCAGGAATGACACCCATCACATTAGGTCGTAATAGGTCATATTCTACGCATATTGTCATATTTTGAGTTATTTGGCCATATTTTTGACATACTGATTTTCAAACCCCCTCACCCCTCCTTCTTGTTTCACAAGTTTGCTCCTACTACTCCCTCCCGCCTCTCCCGGTTCTATTCTAGGATTTCTTGGCTTGGTTTGCTACCATCAAGTTATAAGGTCGTATTTTTGGTCACATTTGACGATATTTTAGTCATATTTTGTGGCTATATTTGAGAAGTTTTTAGACCACATAAATCCATCTTCAAGTCACGACAGAACGTCGACGCAAATTGAGGCCACGAAAAGGGTATCTATGCCCGCCTTCCCGAAAGGAAAAAGGCCAACCCAAAGTGAACTCATTCAATTACCCTATTCTACGAAGATCTGATTGGAATTCCAAGCACGTAACGCTGCGCTGGACTGAGTGGTAAAAATGTCCCTATACCTTGAAGTCATTCATGCTACAAACTCTAAATGGATTCATTCAGCCAGTTGAAGGGCGCAGAAGACTTTCGAAACACCAGTCTATTTTGCGGAAGCCATAAAATCTTGTAGTAATAATATAAATAAATAAAAATTCGCGACTGTCGAACAATTCATTCAAAACATAATGGATGCGTCCTGGAGAGTCCATACTGCTAATGTATCACACAATGTATTCGAATGCGGAATCGCCTGGTTATCATTAAATGCAAGTTCTCTGTGACGAATTAAATAAAAGAAGTACATTCCAGAGACTGGTGTAAAACGTTGTATAAGTTTGTCGCTTCCAAATGCTCCGTAACTCATAACAGCGTACTACAAGCGTCATCGCCCACATCCCAATATTAAAAAGTCGCAGTTCAAGGTTCCTACTGTATATGCATTACAGGCGAAACATGTAAGAAATGAATAACCAAAGACGGGAGAAGGTCGAGGCCGGGTCAATGTCTTCCTAGGTCAGTTGGCAGTGGTAATCGAATAGCAACCCAGAAAAAAAGAAGTGAAAGGCTTGTCAGATATAGCGGCCAAGAGCACATCTGGTGTTACATGCACCTGCTCCTATCCTGCCACGCGGTTGGGAAAAAGTTAGTACTGGAATTTTTACGTTGAGAGCGGTACGCCGTTTAAATGAACCAAGAGACAGTCTTGCACGGAGGGTTTTTTTTTCAACGTGGCAATGAGCCTGAATAGAGTGCTTATTACCTAATGGTGACTGAAGTACTCCATTCAAGTTCATTGCCACTTCAACCATTAAGATCTAGGGCGCCATGCCTCGACTCTGTCCCTCGTACAAGGTACATGTTTTCTCAACAATTCCAAACCAATTCAACGTTGTGATTGGTGTGTTCTCCTCTCTCTCGCTCCGAAGCTTAAGGACTCAGGGGTGGGGACATTTGGTATACGTTCACCATCCCATAAAAATGAATTATCCTAGATTTCCAGTCACATTTTAGGCCTAAATCTGTGACGCGTTCAGGATGTGTTGACCTTTCAATTTCATGGAGATGGGGTGCGAGGTTGAAATAAACAGTTGTAAAAAAAATTCCTGGCCTCGATAGGTTATCTTCTATTGATTTTCCCACAATGAGCCAAGGAATTATAACTTGGCATGCTCTTGCTCTGGGATTGGCATGCAGATTGTATTATAAAGAGCAGTAACAACAGATCGTGTTTTTTTTTCTGATGCTAGGACGATAAGATTCTCCAATCTGAAGAGGAAACTACCCCTTTCCCCAGCCCCACTTCAATTCTACCATCAAATTTATAATGAAGTTATGTGAATTATACAGCTTTACCGTCTGGGTTAACAAGGTCATCTCTTCCGGAAACGTCCTTGCATACCTTCTTCGACTGTGAAGGTGACATGCTTGTGCTATGGCGTTTTGTCTTTCACTCTCGTCTAGACAGCAGCGCTGTGGCGAATGACGGTGAAATGCAAATCAAAGCGTGAGTTATGCCAGTGATGCACAACCTTTACAAAGAACCAAATTAAGATTTCGACGTATGTTCTAGGACTGCATTCACAACCGAAGGTCATATCTGCCGTATCCATTTATTAAACAGAGGAACCAAAAGAGGGCTCGATTGGCGCGCCCAGGGTAGAGTCACAGTGAAAATAACACCCTACTCACCCCTTGCACGCTGCAATACTTTAGAATAAATCAGTTGCGGCTCAAAACCAGCTACATGGTAGGTGCTGGACTTTTATGTTATTTTCATATTAATTTTTAGCAAATCGTATGCATGCATACATTTACGAGTATGAATCTAAAGCCAATGAAAGCAGATCAGTGAGAGAGAATGAAGACATCCAAGGGACGGCAACATTTTTATCTGGGACTACGGATCACTGACTGCTTACGAGGTATCACTGGGTCATGATGAGTTTGGGTTGTGACCAGCTTGCACAACGGTTGAACTCCCTGGAGAGAAAATCATGGCTGAAGATAAATTATTGACCATCGGCACGTAAGGCGTTGGCTTAGGATTGACAGATCTATTGTTCCTCCCACTCCTTTCCCTCCCTTCATCTATAATTTGAACATATGAACCTCCTCACTGTTTGATGAGAAGGTACTTTTATTTTTCTTCCGCCCTGTGCGAAACGTGTCCCAAAGTGAAATCGCTAAAGTAGACAAGCAGCGATCATTATAGCTACGGACTGCAAACCGAGAATGGATTCTGATACTGGATCTTTTTTTGGTTTGCCTAATAGCAGCGGAAGTATAGCATACTTTCATTGGTGCGGCAATCTGAGATTAACCTCGATTCCGTTCCTTGTGAGTTTTCCCCACACCACATGACGCTAGTCACGAACTCCGGGTATCATCGCTCGGGTGATTAATGACAATCATTTATACTCAATGCCCTTGTGAATGTTATAACCTTTCATGCTCTTATCCAGATGTTGAGAGAGATTTATAACCAGATTAAAAGTATGATAATAAATTAAACAGTCTACAATTGATAGAATGAAAATTATATTATTCCAAGCCGTATATATTTGACGGGGAAGAAAAAATTTAATGAACTTTTTTTTCTTCTCAGATTTGACTATCTATGCCTTGAATCTTTCACTCCACGCTTGGGAGTGAAACTGAAAAACAAACAACATTCTCGCAATCTTTCTGTGGGGGGGGGGATCATTCCTGGTTTTCATAAGGTTCTGGGATAAATGTGCCTCATGGTTTGTGAGTCCCTGAAGAATCTGCTTAGTGACAGAAGAATTACAGTATGGTCTATCTTAGGTGCCCGTTTTTCAGCCCCATCGCTCGGAAGCCGAGCAAAAGGATTCAGACCGGTCATCGGGTGACTAACCAAGGTAATGCGGAGGAGCCATTGTCGTCCCTCTGCTCCTAGACGCGGTGACCCTTGAATACCAGCTCTGTCCTACTTTTTGGTTCGACCATGAACAGCAACTTCTCATGACTTAAGCTGTTTCCAATCTGAGAAGTAGACGTTGGGTGGAATATAAGTCGAAAGTCTCTCTGACCTTAAACGTTTGCATGAGAACGTGTGAAAACTTAAAAGAGTTCCCTGTCGCCTTCGAAAAAAGTCGTTTAGCGTTGGCTGAGTGAGGGTGAGTGAGGGTAGGCTGTCACCTGTCCCGTATTTTAGGGGAAGACAGCTTTCCATGGTATTTATGAGGGGCGCTGTACCGCGTCCCGGGCAGGCGTCCAACGGGACACAATTTGTCCCATAAAACTAAGACTACATTGCTAGGAAATTTGGAATTTGCCTAGTCGAGTGTCTACTAAAAAATCGGGGATTTCAAAGTGTCATGACTCATGTGTTTATTATACTTTATCTGGAAGACTGTATGCAATACACAGATGGACGCCTGAGCAGATGTTCAACGTGCAAGCACGGCACTGTTCAAGTCGATTTTCCATCCCCTTTAAAACATTCAACAGGTGCTCTGATGTGATACAGCGAATAACGTCTGTAATCCTTTTTCTCAAGTTAGCCAAATTTTGTGGTGTTATGTAGAAGTGTGGCTAGACAAGCCCTCACGGCAATAAATGAAGAGGCATGAAATCACAAGTACGAGGAGGTTAATTGAGTGATCCATGCACACCAACATACCTGAATTGGCAAGTGAATCACTCACGTTATCTCACGTCACTCGATTTCCTTCTAAAAGAAATTTTAAAGACGCTAATTTTATTACAAGACACCTGCCATACCTTTCTTGGTTACCACAAAAGCAAGGATTGATTGCAAAAATAATTTAAAGTATTATAACAGAGCAACTGCTGAATTTGAAGAAAGTTGTGAGAAATCAACTCGAACAGCGTTGTGCTAATGACAGTGGGCAATTTGGTCTGTCTCGGCCATGGCAAACTATGAACATCCATCAGTCTATTGCAAGCAGTTTTTTTTTAGGCATATTTAATATACACCTGGATTATGACATTGAAACCCCTTGACTTTTTTCCCACCGAGTAGAGTAGATGGGACGTTATAACTATTATGACTTAAGAGTGTGCAGCATCGTATCGGAAACTCTTAACATGATGTTCAGCACTAATGGCAATGTTGGATGCCGATGAAGGAGCGAGAGAGGGAGCGGACCAGAGCCCCTGAACGCGCTACCCATTCGAACGGTTTGTCTCCGCGTTTTTTCAATTTATTTCAGACCTCTAGACATTCTCTCCTTTTTCTTTTTTTTTCTCTTCTTGCCTTGCCCCCTTCCCCCTTTGCTTAGTCAGTCTCATCGGAGTCTCAAGGGAGTCGCTATTTCCCTATCCCCAGCATTCATCCTTGTCAGCTATCAGTTTTTATCCCGCATTTGAATGGCCAAAAGGGGACAATTCCAAGTGAGGGATTCATACGGACCGGGGTCTATAGTCCTTGCCTGCCAAGAGCTTCTGCGAAAATGGAGCAACAAGCAAGCTTAGATAAGATTCATTGGAAGAGAAAACGTTGAGTCAATCATTTCGGACGGATTAGAAGTCGCAGATAACGAAGAAGGAAAAAACGAAGTGACGCTCAATTGCAGGTCATTACTGAGCGCTTACGCAGATTTTGAGAACAGAAAGACCAATACCCTGAAAAGTTAAGGCCAATCTAAAGTTTTTTCCATGGAATTCCTTTTTCAATTTCGCCTCCTTTTTGTTGCGGGAGTGATCGTTGCTGCACTTCACAGTTGGCAAATAATCTCGAGTGAGATCTTTCAAAAAAGCTTTCACGTCCATCTCCTTCGGTTGAAGCGCCATGGATTTTCTTTCTTATATAATCAGGTGCCTGGTGGGGACATGCCCAGGGATGAGGTGATCCAATGGGCCGATGGATTCGTCCTCGTCTATTCTATTACGGACCGAGAGAGTTTCAATTTCGTGAAGCTGGCCAAGGGATACATTATGGAGAAGAAGGGCGGGATGAGCCCCGGATCCTACCCGCAGATTCTCGTCGCCCTTCTCGGGAACAAGGGGGACATGGTCCATTTAAGACAAGTCAGCACCGAGGAAGGTACGTGACCTTCTTTCCCTCCAACCTGCTCCCATCATCCTCCACCGACTGCTGGCCCTGTGAGAGGATACCCTTCGTTTCTTCCTACTGCTGATCACTTCATTACACTTTTTATTCTTAAACCTAATTGGAAGTTTTACAGAAAAACCATTGGCGTCAGATCCGAGTATCAGTCAGCTTTCTTTGCCGAAGCTGGAAGCAGATGCTCCATCACTTGCGCATCGACAAACAGAACTTACGAAAACCCTCAGTTGCCATGTTGAGAGAGCAAGCACGGCTTTCTCCGTAGTTGAGAGACATCCAATAAGTATCTTCTAAAAATTGGAGCATGTCACCGTTGAAGTAGATGTCAGGTTCACAGGAATGAGCAGGAAATGATTGTTGGGTTTCCTCTCCGATTCCGTCGGTAATGACATCCAATTCAGTATGCTGCGAAAATGATGCTTCTCTTTTACGATGGGATGCATGAATTTCACCCATTTTACTAATACCCGAAGCTCTGCAGCGATGATTTCATTTCCTTCTTGTCTTCGATAAATAATTGGTCTCTGCAAACAATCGTCTTCAAAGGATAGAAATAGTTTGTTCATCTAACCCCATGCGACGCGTTCACTGTACTTCCATTTCTGTGCGCATGACTTATCACACAGACGGGGAAATCTTGAATAGTTTATATTGCTCGTTAAAGTTTTTTTCTCATTGGAGGGATTGGCGGAAATTCTGCGCTGTCCAGAAACAGAAAACTTTGCATATTCGAATTCAGTCATTTCCATTAAATATATTCCGTTTGCCTCTAAACCTCCTCAATTAATTTTTTAAAACCCTTTCCAGCCCAATGACCCCAATGGTGTACATGGGTTAATTTTATGTATAAAGGCTCAATAATCCAATGACTCAATTTGGCATCGTAGTTAGTTTTTCTATTACTTTTGGTTATTATTTTACTTTTTTTTGCTTTTTAAATTTCATTTAAAAATTTTTTTCATGAAAAAGTATAATTAATTTGGGTTGGAAAAGGCGAAACTGATTGACCATGGTCAGTCAATTTAATAAACTCGTTGAGAAACTCAAGAAAATTCATTCGGGGTTATCATTTTCTCATGCATAAGAGAATGGCAACTCTGACAGCACACGTCGCGGCAATTTCGAGTTTGCGCATCTAAAGGGAAGTGAGAGCAGTCTTGATGATGAAAACTTCTACGTAATTACTTTCTCCCCTTTTTTTCCCTTAAAATAGTAATAGATTCATTCACTCGACATCAAATCGATGGAATGTGCAAACTATAAATAACGACTGACGCATTCGTAATATAACGAACAACGCCGGGGCAAAAACCCCGTCACTCAGCCTTGGCACGGAGTGCTGGAAGTGTGCATTCGAGCTAAAAGGGCCCCTTAAAGGCCCCTTGCCCCTTTAAAGATTGATTGGGATGCAGGTCTTCTCTTTGAACTAGAGAGGAACACCTCTCCACCTTAATGGAGGGAGAGGCAGCTCCTTAATCCTTGATCTGAAGTATTGCTGCACGATGCAATCACCGCGGAAGACGCGTGGGATGCACGAAATCGGTTCAACTTTTTAAGCTGATATGGTTTCACAATGAACTCTGATGGGAATCAGATTAATTCAGTTAAACAGAGTCCCATTACATCATGTGCAGGTTGTTCCATATACCCTGTTACCCATATCGTCTATGTTTCTTATAATACAATGGAACATGAACAAAGTTTATTTTGCAATACGGATTAAGTTTAACATGTAGCATGAAATTACAATGTCATGGTCAGCCCCGAAGAGCTAAAAGAGGCTGTGACAAATGAATTCCACCAGGTTACACCAGCAATGTTACGGGGGATGTCACACAGAAGTTGGCTGCGTATCATTCTCTGCTGTGGAAATGAGGGTGCACACACCGACCCTATTGACAGTTAAATTGACATTGACGTGCTAAACGTAACCCGTATTAAAAAAAATTAACTATGTTCCTGTTCTATTGTATCACACGAGGAAAATAATTAATATATCATGAGAAATACATAGGGGTAACAGGGCACATGGAACACCCAGTGTGTTGAAGTTGAACTGATTTTATGTATAGCATCCAATAAGTTCCTTTTCTGAAAAAATGTTCACGGTTCTTTCCGTTCAGCTCTTCTCTCATGAAGCGACGAGAATTGACGAACCTCCAATTCCCCCTTTCGAAGAATAATGACTGCGGAAGAACGACGTCTCTCATTTGTAAATAATGACTTCTGACGAACCCGGTGCACGGGCGTTGAATGAGAATATCCGACTAATGGAGGGACGGAAAGACGCGTAGCTTTGAACGTGTGAAGGGGGTGTGCGAGGCGTGTGAGGCATCCTTTCTTCGCGACGCTGAGACACCGACATCGCTTCATTCTGCTTCTGGCTATTGGCCAAGACATTTGCTACACCGAGAAAAAGTGCCAAAATTGGCGTAAAAATATGAATACCTCGTGATTTGCTGTATGGAAAAGCATGCAACACTCGGTGCTAAATTTTTAAATTCTTCAAAACATTTGGTGGTTGCCGTTAAAGAATTGTGTCCTTGACCTTAGATGTTCCATGGGTGAAAGCTGGGTGGAAGAGCTAGGAGCTAGTGCACATTACTCTTTTCGCCTCCTCTCATTATTTCATCGCATTGATCCCTATGCTTCCCCTTCTAATGTTCCTCCTTTTTTTAAACCTTTTTTTCAGTTGGCTATTCGAGCAATAATTGACTTCGTTTGCCTACATGGAAAAGGGATGCGAAAATGAATCCCGAAATAATAATGGCACTCCTAACAGACAGACACGCATGATAGATTTCCATTCTTCCTCGATTTGGCACGTTTCCTCGGACAGGGTGTCGAATGTTTCGGCTTATTGCCAGAAGCCAAATCAAGCGATATTGATGCCATTTCTCAGTATCGCAAATAATAATTGGAATTTTCATACCTGAAAGGTGCATGTCTTTCGTCCATTGAAAGTCCATGCCTCAAGTTCACTGAAATAGAGTTTAGAGAAGAAATTAAGGGATACTCTTCGTCTCATTTGGAGAATAATCAACATTTAAATTTTTCACAGGCTATATGGCCACCCACTTCATGCAATTGGTGAATCCCAACGTTTCCACGTTTCCCATTAGGAAATATTGAAGTACCATTAAAAATAGAGCGATGAAGAAGCAGCGGAATGAAACGAGACAAAGAGAACTTTCCAACGATATAGATTGAGATCGCCTTAGAATTTCAAGCAGCCAGCGAGAAAGAAGCTGGGTGGAGCGCTATTTTTTTTTTTGAATGACATGTTAAGAAATTGTTTAAAGCAGATGGAGAGACCATCCATCTGGTGAAAAAACCTGAAATCGTCTGGCAATAACTGACTTCGATTCGGGGCTGATGGGGGGGGGGGGGCTGAAGTTCTGCGAGGCCTTCAATATGACGGAAATCATTTTCTCGCCGTTACTGAAAGGAATATTTCCTAGAACAAAGCCGCATGCAAATTAGCATTAGAGTGTACAACTGGAAAAAATTCTGAAAGTAGAATGAACGACAAAATGTGAAATTGGTAACCGATGACAGTTCCGGATTCTTGAGATACTCTTAGATTCAGAACAGTGATTAGATACTCTTACTATTGCTCTCGAACAGTTCTGGCTTCTTACCAACTCATCAAGAAGATAATTAAACGCTTTCCCATGCCCAAAGAGTACTAAGTTAGGGACCGAGATTGATCGATATATAGATATCGACTACTGCTGTCGATTTCAGCCTCTTTTTAGAACCGGTTCTCCGACACTTTTAAGTGTCGATAAGTTGGTTACTATTTTTTGATGGCAGCATAATAAGCTTTGCTACACTCTGTAAATTTATTTGGACTGGTGAACGCGATTGCTGCACAAAATTCAGTGATTGTCAGATCAGAAGCCTTGTACTTTAGCCCAGATAGAGATGTTGAGATATGGGGTGGCTCCTTGCCACCCAGACGTGCTACCTTTGCTTCACACATATTACGAGAACTTGGCTTCGTTTGCTGCCTCTTGGCAGTGTCTAGATGTAACTTGGACAGAGAGAAAGAGAATGAAAATACTGCATGGAATGGATAGACAGCTAGAAACGAAGAAAAAGGATGGCAGGATGAGACGCCAGCATCGACTGTATCTTCCCACTCTCGTTTCCTGCTTCCGTGCAAACTTCCCAAAATTAACCAATTAATTAATCCCGTTCAGGAACCTAACGGCGATTACTTGGGAACCGGTAAATATCTAACAGTCTCCCAAAGAGCCTTATCGCCTCCTAAAGAGACAGAAGCTCCACGTAGGAGTGCGTTGTCAGAGAAATGCTGGTGCGATGGCGGTATTTCACAAGAGGCACCGAGAGCGGGGATCCACTGCCACCTCCACACCTCCAATGCTTTATCGTCAGAGACGATTTCGATCCACTGTAGAGAAACGTGTGCAGACGCGATTCGAATGCTGATTTCCTCGGTTGTTAGACCCCTAGAATTACGGGGTAATACGACGAAGAGCTCTATTTCGTTTTGCGCATCATATCGTCCTTGAGCTGTTGTTCTCAACCGATGAGTCGTCTTTGGAGATCCCCAGTAAGGTTCTTATTGAACTTGTGATGCTTCGGATTTACTCTGTCCAATCTCCTGCAACGGGGAGGCATATCTCGGAAACACCAATCGATTAGATTGCTAGCATACTGTTGATGACGAGGGTGCCGACAAATATTTTTCAAGCGAGACGCAGAAAGCGTCATGACAGTTCTTGAAAGCAGTTCATCCCGTGGTTAGAGGCGAAATTCTCCCTTTTTCAAGAAGGCGGAAGAGGCACGAGGGTATCTTAACCCATCGCATCCTTTCTACTCGTGAGCGAACTTCTGCTTTCACTCTGCTTCGCTCACCTGATTTATGGTTTTTCGTTGACATGACCGAAAAATCCAGAAACAAGAGGAAGTTGAAAGCATAAAGAAAGACAAGGCTGTGGGTGAGACCTGGAATCAAGCTCCCATTTCCGTGAGATCCCCAGAGGAGAAATTTATGAGGGAATCAACCATGCCATCGTCAGAATATATGTAAAAAGTTAATGCAAAAAGAGAGCTTCAGTAGCGAGCACAAGTCTATAAAAAGAAGCCGACTTTAGCGCTTCTATCTCATTTACCCAACATGTTTTCTCCTATCTTTCTCTTACGCTAAAAGCTTCACGTCTGCCTTTGTAAATCTGCATTTCCTATTTATTTCCCTTGCTTTATGAATTATTTACAATCGAGACAGAGACAGGATTTGTGACTAGAGTTCTCCCTGCCCTAGACCGTTGATAAATGCGACGGGTGAATTTATGACTCCCTGGTCATTCGATTCTTGGTTAACGTATACCATTTGCTTCCTCTTTTTTTTCCCCTTTCGATTCTTAACACCCGCTGATAAACTGCCACGGGTCAAATTCAGTCATGAAAGGGCAAGTTTCTGAAACATTCATGGAGATTCACCCCTTCCTTCATTGCAGGCCATATAGTAAAGGTCAGGCAATTTATCTGAGTGATTTTCTCTGCTATAGGTGATATATTGGCAAAGGACGGGGACTGCATCTGGGCAGAAGTGGCTGCAGCCGAGCAAGTTGCCCCAGTCGCCGACGCCTTCACCGAACTCGGACGGGCCGTCGTCGCCGCTCGCAAAAAGGTTCCTACTTCGAAGCGTCTCTCACATTTTGAGGAAGACTTCCGTCTGCGGGATGAATCCAGAATCCGTGCTTGTATTGCTTGAGTTGCAGAACAAACAGAGCCTGTTGGACCGGATGTTGGGAGGGAAAAGCGGGTCTGGAAGCGGCGGGAGCGGAGTCGTGGGTGGTGCCGGTGTCCGAATGTATTCCCGGGGGAAGAGTGATTCCGCCCTGCCCAAAAACGGCTTCTGATAGATGCTGTGGCCAGGCCATGTGCCTTCCTATCTTCATCTCCTTCGTAATCGTCAGTACGGACTGCTGATCCAAATGAACGACTCCTGTTCAGGGCTCATTGTGTGATGTGATGTGGCGTTCCACGCCAGGATGAGAACCTTGTTTATAGATCTTTGCTGCACCTGGTGGTTTCATAAGTTTAGACCTTGACATGAATATCAGCTTGCAATAAAATTTTATCGTTTGAGTATGACCGAGAGTTGAATACCTGCTCCGTGAAAGATGCAGACATCTTTTTGGTTTCTATGAAACTAAGAATTTCTAATAAGATACACTAGATGTCAGGAGCTGTATTCAAATGTTCCTCTAACTGGAGCAAACATGGCGAAGTGGGTGAGGTATGCCTGTAAGCAAGTTCTCAGCTGTCTCAAGATCCCCTCCTTTCTCTTCTCGGTTTTCGCTTCATTGAGTGTGGTATTACACCTTAGTTTCAAGTCCTTGGATTAGAGCCATACGGAAAACATAGGCCTATCCTAAGGTTGGAACTTAGGTTTACCATAAGACTGTTGGTTCAGATCACGTAAGACTTAGCTCTCAATAGGCCTCCTCTCATCAGACCGGTCCTACGGAAGGCTAAAACCTTCACGTTGCAGTATAGCGAAGAGACCTATACCTATGATTATTCCTGGTGTAAAGACAGTTGTAAAACCATACACGATTCTTGCATTCTAACATTAGCGTGCTAACATTTTTACGAGAGTGGAACCCACTTTATGAGGGTGAGTAAGGTGCAATTTTAAGGACTAACGTTAGGCCGGGGGTATTGTTGAATGTAAAATAGTGCTACTTAGGCCTCATATTAGAGAGGATTGTCACCAAGATAGTGTCCAGCCCCTGCAGTTCATTTCACTTCGAAACAGCTGGGCTTTGCATAATAGGGTGTGGGTGAGGTTGGTGAAGTGCCAGGCTCTCCCCTGTACAAGCCTGCATAGGCTAACGTTAGACCTAGGCTTATGATTCAAGCAGGAAGGCCAAGCTGACTATTCTCAGAAATCTCTGTGCTGCATCACAGGTATATTCCCTCACTCTCCTGTTCGTGTGTCAAATGAAGGGAGTCTTTATTAGTGTGATTAGAGTAATTGGACTGAATGCTACCCAAAAGGAGAAGTTTGACATTGAATGGTCAGTAATTATGTGTGCCATGTGAAGTGTGACAGCTCTTCTTAACAATCATCCTGAGGAATTGACTCTGGATATGTCAATGTCAGCTATTGACCAGTTTTGCAGCCTATCTAGAAGATTTCTCCCAGTAAACTAAAGCTCTTTCTTTCGTATGATCTGATATCCCATGTTAGAGTCTTTATTTTTGCTTCTAGAAAGAGGGCCTGCATTACTTTGCCTAAAGAGAAAAATTCATTAAGTAGGCCCATTTAAGTTAAATCATTAGAAGCCCAACATCTGTGAATTGTGATATCAAAGCGAATAGACCATTTAGGCCCAGTTGGTAAATGTTCGAATCAATTATACCCTCAAGTGCATTCTGTGGTACACATGCCAAAACATAACATACAAACTTTAATGGAAAGTAGTCCACAATGTTTTCAGCAATCATCAGACCTGCACCTACTGACTGCTCTGTTTTCAATGTGGATGAAGTTTTAAGATACTGATACCAGGGTTATATGGTTCAGAAGATATGTTCTGTAACCAGGTGAAAATAGAATTAATATTAGAAAGCAAATGGAGATAGGAATTCCCTTATAACATTTCTTGCTATTGGTGGCACTCATCCTTAACATCTTGTAATGCTGAGTTATTTTCCCTCTTTCTGACATACTCTGTTCTACATCACATTGAATCCTAGTATGATTATGGTTCTTGCCTCTTGCAGATATTAAGACAATGAATGTGTGACTTATAAAGGGTGGTCTTTAATTTGCTTAATATTAATTTGTTTATCACTTGAAGTTCTTTTGATCCATGTATGGATCCATGATCATTACTGTCCCATCAGGATCCATAGGATATTCTAATCTCCATCATTTTGAGTACTTTACATGGATTCTGCATATTTCATGTTTTCTTGACCTTGAGTGAGATGACCCTTTGAGTCATAGACATGGATTGCCAGGAAGTTTCTTTCATGCTATAGCATGAAGCACCTGTTTTGAATCTGAATTTTAAATGGTAGCCAATTTGATATTGAAGCCATTTACTGGATACTGTGCATGTTTATTCCATATGCAAGCTCAGAGCCTCACAGTCATGCATATATTACTTACTCTTTAACATGTTAACTGCCATACAGGGTGCAGGCAGGTTGCATGCTCTTGTATTCACGGCATCATAAATAGGTCTTGCTAACTAACCCTTTCACTATGGCTGATGAGTTTGCTCATTGCGTTATCCAGCACAGCTATGAAAACTGCTGTGATATTAATATGGTAATGTTCATATGAAAAGTGGGCTTATATTTTGGGGAACAGAAAAACTAAATGGGCTGAAGCACCATAGGAGGATTATTTTGAATTGGGCATGGCACTTGTCCTGCTAGACATACTGCTTACACTACTGTCAAAATGACATTCAGAACACATCCTCAATTTGAAGTTTTCTCCAGGAATAAGGTTCACTTTTTGAAACACTACATTGTAGAAGTACCTCAATAGGAAAACAGCTGTGTCAGTGTGATTGGGTTCTTCAGTTGAGTTCACAATGAGTTTGCAGGCTTCCCTTTCACTGCAATCAATGTATGAAAGTAGCTGTTATGAGTAGCTCAGTGTGCTTTGGGTGAATGGTGCCCATACCAGTGATGGACAGTCAATGTGGGAAGTGCAAACAGACATCACTGATATTGTCCTACCCAGGAGATAGATGGTGCTGTTTCATATGCTAGTTGCTAGTGTCACCATCATGAACAACTGCCCTACCTGCCAATTTGTTATGTTGAAAACCCCCATGACATCAACTAACACCCCCACCAGACTCTTGAATGAGATCCTCTGTTGGTTCACTTTCAGGACAGGTTATTCATGAGAAGACTGGTTACCCACATACTTTAAAAGTGAATATTCCCATATATTTTGTCATTGAGAAAGAATAAGAACCATTACTTTTGGTACTAAATTTGGCCACTTGACCTTTGAACAAGGATTAATTTTCAGGTTAGAAGAATAAATTTACATGAGCATCAGCAAATTGTTATTCATACTGTTTAAAATACAATCCTTGTTGATTCATCTGGTAGGGCTTATGGAGAAAATAATTAGAAATGATAAGATACTTTTTTCTTTCAAAGAGAATAAGTTGAGGGACCAGTTGAATCCTCATGTGCCTTGCCTTTTTGCCATAGCTCCTAACAGAAAGGTGCTTTCTGACCATCTGGTGCATTTTATGCTGCAGATCATCCAAAAACCAAGAAGGGAAGAATGGATTTAGCTGAGACGATAAAAATGGATTGAATAGAATGTATATAGCTTGTATCACACTTGTTATCTCTCCATGAGCAACACCTACTTGTATGGAAATGGAAGCAGGAGAAATGCCATTCAACAGAGAAGTGAAGTATAATCTCTGACTTTCAGATGTCTTGTAACTCCTGGAATTGACATCTTCCGAGTGTAAGCAGGACCATTCGCATGATGTCATTGTTTGTGATTGAGAGCATCTGGGAATGCTTGAAAAGCAATAGTCCAAATATATGCAAATAAGAATTGAGGGGTTCTTGGCTGATGCCCCTTAAAACTTCTCATCTGGGAAGCAAACAGGCTTTCTAAAGCTCCTTTTGAGCAGACAATAATCAGAAGGCAATGTAATATCCATGTGGTATTTATTTTTTTTTTCAAGGCAGATTTGTGTATTGATCAATTCCTGATGCTGAAATGCAATGAAATCCTCTGAATGCCATATCATATCCATCTACATGTAAATCACCAATAAAACTGAGAAATAAGGATGCCTTACATGAATTATATACAGAAATTCCATGAATAACAAAGAAAACCTGGCAGAGCTAATGCTCAAGTTGAATGTCCATGTGATGGAGAAATCTTGAAATAACTCTTAAACTTTCACCTTTCACTTGCATAGAGTCAGTCAAATCTCTGTTCGATGTGTCAATATAGTGGAGTTTTGCACAAGCTTTTGGCCATGTGTTACATAATTAGAGGCCTTGACTGTCCACTGGATCAACATCTAGACCTAGATTCATATCTAGCTTTTTCACATGGCACTATCCTTGAGACTCCACATCTGGTTAGATCAGAGTCCACCTCATACAAGTAGGTTCAGATTTAACATTTATGTCTCTATCAGTTGTGTTCAACTGGTTTTGATTTTTTATGCAGTTGCTACAGGGACAGGTATTTTTCTTTACATAACTGGTTCATGGACATTGTGAACCTGGTCCAGAGGGAGCTTAAAACCAGAGCTATATTATCATTCAGCTCTCTAATTGTGGCATCAAAAGTAAAAAGCCAAGCTTGAGCAAAAAAGTGTTTGATTAAGCTGCAAAAAAACTGTCTGAATGTGTCGAGACTTGCAGGTTCTAACCTTTCCTGCCTTGGCTGAAGTATAAAATCATACAAGTGCTGGGCTTACCTCATAGACTTTAAACTTGGTAACACTGATGGGAATGCCATAAAAATCAATATATTGTACCATCTGGTACATTGGAGGAAGAAGTACAGACCTACCCTGGTGATATCAACTGCGTGCTTTCTTATTGGCATAAGGGGACCTCGAAGGTGTGTTTGTTCACCCTACTGCCTGTGTGTTTGTTCTTGACTCGTTTGTTATCTCGAACAAATTATACACACCCTCCATAGTTCAGAACACATCTCGTTTGTGATTCTGAAGCGCATTTCTTCCAACGGTAATGAACAGCTTTAGACTCATTATCTGGTATCAGTCTTTCTTATTGCCTTCTCAGTTGCTATTATTATTACCATATCGCCATTAGATTGGGAGGTTCTATCCGTAACGCTCGAGTGAACAGAGCAGGGGTGCCCAAACCTTTTGGCCACTGCTATATAGTAATAAAAAACAATCTTGTGCCGAGGGGGGGGATTGGTTGCAGAGCGGGAGCTCTACGTGTTGCCATTGCCTCTAGAACAGGGGTGCCCAAAGTGCGGCCCGCGCGCCGCATCCAGCACACAAAGTGCCTTAGAGAACTTCCACTTTGGGCACGTCTGCTCTAGAAGGTGCCCGTTTATTTTTTCTTAATGCTTCCATTCGATATCGTGTGAGTCA